TTTAGTGTCCCAACTTTTTTGGATATATATATATATATATATATATATATATATACACAGCCCTTGTTCTCTCTGAAACTGAAAATTTCTGAATACTGGTCTTGGTGTTGAGATTTTCGGGGAAGTGTGAAATTGTGTCAAATTGTGCATGTGCACTAAAGATGGCTGCAGTCAAAGGTTTTTATTCACTAACAACAGTTATAATAAAGGACTGTGTTTTTTGTGCTAGTCAGCCATGTTCCAGTATGTAGGAGCTAACCAACCACATCCTGGGTCCAAAGGATCATTTCTGTATTTTACAGTTTGAATGTAACTGTGATCATGCAAACACTGCATGCAAGATGCATGCAGATGAGCCCACATCAGGGTTTCCAGACAAACATAACTACATTTTATTACTCCCTCCTTCTCTGGGTACATGTTTACCAAACACAACACACCCTCGTCTTACGACACACTCACTAAGCACATATGACAGTTTGAGTCAAAATACAATAATTTTAAAACAACAGTACAATTGTTCATGATTTTATATCTGGCAACCCTGCCTGTCATGAAAATTACTGTGGAACGTTTTAATTTTTTTTTGTTTGTTTGCCTCAGTAAACATTGAAAAGGCACCAACATTTCCAGAAATTGTTCTTGTGTAAAAAGGGCCTTAAATTTTTGTACCAACCAAAGTTGACCCTGTCTAGAACTCTTTTTGACAAAGGAGCACAAGCTTTTACCTGTTAGCATCATCACAGCAAGCAGCGCAGTGAGGCAATACATATTTATAAAGCAGCACAATCTGAAGCCTAATGAAGAGCGTTACATTGACAGGGCTCATTTTATTTACAAGTGACATAATGACTGGAGACGAACATTCAGTCTGACTGAAGGAGTACAAAGAACTATTCACAACACTGTTTGATTTACAAGGAAACACATCTGCATCCTTGGAACAAATTGCAGATTAATGAAAGTATCAGACTGAGAAGTGGAATCGGCCATTCCTTATTTATGAAGGACTTGGATTGATATTGTGGCCAATTTTGATCAATACATTCTTAATAATAATAATAATAATAATAATACATTAATAATACAATAATAATATAACTAATAATACACGTAAAGAAACAATGTTAAGATGTTTTCTTATAGCCACTTATTTCAATACGCCATTGAAAATGTAAGGCATGTACAGAAAAATGAGACGGGAATTAAGACAACCCTCACTTGTCTAGTCTGTCGCATTAAATCTAATAAAAGTCAACCGACATTTACATCTCCATGGCTTAGTTCAAGACATGGCTTTAACTCAGATCACAAATTTTACAATGACTGTGTAAAACTGGAGTGTCTAATAAGTGTCTCCTGTCAGTCTGGTGTAGTCTAAAACTCTCTTTATCCTAAATCTTTAGTACAGTTTTGAAGTAAAAAACCATTAAAAGGTGGAGGTTTTACTAGCAAACAAAATATGATTGCATCCAGAATTATTTTTGCTTTGGGGAATAGGTAAAGTAAGAGTTTATAAAAAGCAGTTTTGTTTATAGAATTTTTATTAGTTTCACAATTGTTTCATGTAAATAAATGAGCACTTTTATAGATGCTCTGAAAGAGAACCAAGTTCACTGTGGTCTAGTTTTTTCTGGGTGGGTATTTTTCTAGACTATCCATAGCCTAGTTTATTCATTTATACTAAAACAAGCACTACCATACCATGCCATACCATACCATACCATACCATACCATATCATACCATACCATACTATACCATACTATACCATACCATACCATACCATACCATACTATACAATATCGTATCATACCATGCTATGCCATACCATACTATACCATATCATACCATACCATACTATACCATATCATATCATACCATACCATACCATACCATACCATACCATACCATATCATACCATACCATATCATACCATACCATATCATACCATACCATACTATACCATATCATACCATACCATATCATACCATACCATACCATACCATACCATACCATATCATATCATATCATATCATACCATATCATATCATACCATACCACTTTATTTATAAAGCACTTAAAAACAGCAAAAAGGCCAACCAAAGTGCTGTACAGCAAAAACAAACAAGCAAAGGACACAAGATAAAATGCATAGATCCAAATGGAAAAAGATAATAACTATAAGTCTAACACTGTAGCAGACAGGATTATAATCAACTCACACAGTGTCAAAAGCCAGGGAATAAAAATTTGTTTTTAAATGAGACTTAAAAACAGTGAGAGAGGGAGCCTGCCTGACATACAGTGGTAACTTGTTCCACAGTCTTGGAACTGCAACAGAGAAGGCCCTGTCACCTCAGAGCTTAAAACAAGTGCCTGGAACCAATAAAAGTATCTGGCCGGCTGACCTCAGAGAGCGCTGTGGGACATATGGCTGCAGCAGATCAGTGAGATAGGAATGACATTTAGTTTATATGTGATAAACATAGGGCTGCTGTTGTTGCATCGTATTGTTTTGATTAGCATATATCTTAGATCTTTTAGCTTACCATTTGGCGTTAATTTAGCATATTTTTTAGTTTATATCTTAGATCCTTATTTATTGTTTCTTTTCACACTTTATGTTTTTGCTATTGTTGGATGTAACTGGGACACTGTGTACACAATTTCATTCTGCCTCATGTACCACATGTGGTGAGAACGACAGCAAACCTACTTGAACTTGAACATAAAAACAATTCATTTTATCTATAATGATTGTGTTTCATAATCTTTTTATTTATTTTCACTTTTAAATTTTAGAAATAGTTTCTCTGTTGTATACTAGCATTTATTTCCTGTTTTATATACTTTTACAAACAAGTAGTATTTTGAAGACTTTTATCTCAAACAATATGTCTGCTTTATTGGTTTATTTAACAAGGACAACGTACATTAATCAATATCAGATCAGTGTAAATGTGTCAATGAGCCACAAGGCTTTATACATTCTAAAACCATAACACATAAGATACTTTTTACATAAACTTTAAATAAAAGTTTAGAATCACAGCAACACCAAAATGACATATATTTACTTTCAACTTTTAGTCTCTCCTCTAATATAAAACATCTGGCTTTACACTGGATCTATATGACAGAAAAAGGAAAAAAAAACACTGACAGTTTTAAATGTGCTGTAACATAAACCATAAAGACTGTCAGTTCTTCAGCAGTTTGGGTCAAACTGTTACCATATATATACATGACAGTATCATCTGCATACAATTAGAGCAAACAGGAGGAAGGCCATAGACATTTATAGTGAACAGTAATGGTAGAGGGATAGATATTGCTGATATGTTGTTTTTATTACTCTTCTGCAATAACTTTATGCATTTTCTCAGTTTTCCAAGCTTGTATGGCTCTTTGTTTCACACTCTGCAACACCTGTGATTTTACCCAGTTTGACTATGTCAGTTGTGTTCCTCAGGCTAGCTATTCATGCCATCATCAGCCTGCCCCTCATCTTCTTCATCATTGTGAGGAAAAATCCTTTTACGTTCACGCTTGGAATGGCTCAGGCTCTGGTGACGGCACTTATGATCTCCTCCAGGTCAGAAATGTTTTTTCTTAATCCCAGAATACAAACCTCTTTACTCTAAGATCACTGTGAAGTTTATCAGCTGTGGCTGTGATGATGTGTTTCAGCTCAGCCACCCTGCCTGTCACCTTCAGATGTGCTGAGGAGAACAATGGCATTGACAAGAGGATCACTCGCTTTGTGCTCCCAGTGGGTGCCACCATCAACATGGATGGCACGGCACTCTATGAGGCAGTGGCTGCCATCTTCATTGCTCAGCTCAATGACTATGCTTTGGATGTGGGCCAGATTGTTACCATCAGGTATCACTGGGTTTATAGTACAATACATAAAAATAAACAGAAGAAAGACAGGGCACTGGGGCACCAGGTGTAAAATAACTGTAAATCTTTCAGGCGAGTTTGCTCGCTGTGACAGCACCTGCAGAAGGGAGCAGACAACAAAATAATTCTTAATTGTGATATCTATGACAGCGTGTTCGAAGGTCTGAAAAAGTTATTTCAAAGTTTGATAACTGTCTTGTAGCAAGATTTTGTGCCTGTGACAATGAAAACTAGAGAGTTTCTTGATGTGGCATGAAAACATTTTCTGTTTTCACTCTCCTAATAACCTTGATGTTTGCAAATGACTGTAATTTCTAGTGTGAGAAAGGAGCAAGTGAAAAAGAACCTAGAAAGGTGGAGGTATGCTTTGAAGAAAAGAAGAATGGAAGCCATTAGATGCCAGATGGAAGCCATGTGTGTGAATAAGATAGAGACTGGTGGAACAATGAAGCTGCAAGGTGTAGAGGTCCTGAAGATGGAAACGAGGGGAAGAAGAAAAAGGAGACAGTGTGGAGGGGATGGAGACGAGTGTCAGATTTGTGGTATACAGACAACTGCAAGAGTAACAGAGAAGGTTTTCAAGATTGTACCGAGAAACCTGCTATAATGTTTGGATGTGGCTCTAACAAAAAGATAGAAGGCAAAGATGAAGATGTTAAGATTTTTATTGTGTAAGACAAAAATGGACATGATTAGAAATGTGTAGACCAGGACAGCTCAGGTTGGGCCGGACATGTTCAAAGGAGGATCAGTAGACAAACTGGACAAAGGATGTTGCAAAAAGGATGACCACAGAGAAGATTCATTGATGTAGGACAGAGGAGGGTGCTGGGATAGTCAGATGAAGGCAGCTGATCAACTGTGACAAGAAGCAACCAGAAGAAATGTATCTTTGTTCCCACGTCTGAGAAAAGGTTTAGAGATGTTATTCGTTCCCTGAGACCCCTTCTGCATGGCTTTGTTTTCTCAGTTAAAGTGTTACCTTCTTTAGTGAACACGTTGTTTTCAAAGTTAATGGTGAATAAATGGTGATGAGAGAATGTTTACTTGGCCTTAAAAATAAACTAGCATGTTGTATTTAAAAGGTACAGGGTATTTCTTTTGAAATCTTCTGGAATGATAAGGTCCTGTTGTTAGAAAAACATTTTAACTACTGAAACTCTCAGTTTTGATGGAAACTTGGCCAACAGCCATGAGGGCTGTGGCAGCATGTTGGTTTACTTGAACAATTCATTCTTACTCTGTGTTGTCTGTCTAAAACAGGTCTCTCTTGAAAATGAGTCCTCGTAACTCAACAAGACTAACCTGTATAAATAAATGTGAACTAAAAATAAAAATAATTCTGTAGTTGATCAAATCCACCTAAATGTTGCTTCAAAGGATGAACACAAGACAAGAAACAGTTGCATTCTAAAAGGCGTCACAAGTCTGTCTTGTAAATGAGTTCTCGTGGCTCAGTGAGACTAACCTGTATAAATAAAGGTTGAATGAAAAAAAAGGTTATAATAGTTTGATCTTTTAACTTGGAAATAAAGTAGAATCTTGCCAAATATTTCAAATGTTTTCATGCAGTCACCTGGTTGGACAGCCCCAGTGGAGACCTCTGTAATTCTGTTAATCTGTATGTTTTTGACCTTTTATCTCACAAATTATTTACCAATAGATTAGCTTGGTTTGGTGGGTCAGCAGAAATGCTGCATTCTGTGGTGTTATTCCTTTTTATTGGAGCTGGAGCAACGTTGGGATATTCTATGATGTATGGTAGCTGGAAATTTCAATTGTGTTTTCTTCAGAAAAATATGACTAATTTTCCATCTTTTGCTTTCCTTTCTTTAGTATAACAGCAACAGTTGCCAGTATTGGAGCAGCAGGAGTCCCTAATGCTGGCCTTGTCACCATGGTGATAGTCCTAACAGCTGTTGGATTACCTGCAAGTGATGTGACTCTGATAGTTGCTGTTGATTGGCTGCTGTAAGTTTTGTTTGTCTTTTCTATGTCTAATGAAGCAAGTCGAACATTTACAGAGAAGAACACAGAAGTAGTAGTGTAGAAAATAACTAGTAGCTCTGTGTTTCAGGGATCGGTTCCGTACAATGATCAACGTTCTGGGCGATGCTTACGGAGCCGGGATCGTTCAAAAGTTGTCCAAAAGGGAGCTAGAGAGGATGGATCTGATATCGGATGTGGACGTCGCCAACCCTTTCGCTTTGGAAACTACGCTGGATGACGACGAGTGTGAAAAAAAGTCTTACGTTAATGGAGGCTTCACCGTGGATAAGACGGATGCGATTTCATTCACAGAAACGTCCCAGTTTTAGCTTCTGGAGAAACTGCCATATGGAAGAATTTTACAGCTTACACCAGAATCTTACACCATGATAAGGGAGACAGAACGATCAAAGCCTAAACCTCAGCAATAGCGGCTTTCATTTAGCTTCAATAAAAATAACTGCGCCTCCTTTTGGACATGTATAACAACCACTAGATACAAGTGCTTCCTTATTACATTCAAGTTGTGCCAAAATACTAAGAAAACAACATTTTGTTTTGAATAACATTGTTCTTGCAAAAAGCTGTTTACCAGTGTGAGTGTCAGTGTGTGTGTACGAGGATACACCTTATGGGTGTGTGTGTCTGTGTGTAATTTGCAGAAAATAATATATATGTTAACACTGATGAAAATTCAATGTTGCTTCTTGAGTAGGGTACAATAGTCTTAATGTCCCATCCTGCACTGCTTGTTTTATTAATATTACCGTTATGTCTATATGTAAATTTGAAAAGTGCCAAACTAATGCCAAACATATTTTTTCCACAAAGATGCATGAAGCAATACATGAAAGAAATGGCGGCTGCACACTTTCTTTATATGAGGACTTCTCAAAGACTGATAATGGTTGATGAAAGCTAATGACGGTAATGAACACTGTGAAATTTCAAGACGTTTTTCAGAGCAAATTCACCTGCATTTATTGATGTATGTCAAAACATGATAAATACAAAGTAAACTGTGTTTGTGTTGAAATTGTGTGGGGAAACCTTCGTGTGTACTGCTCTAACAACCCCGTTTAAACTGCCCCAAGGATTTACATGTTTTTAACTGAACTGCTGAGTTTTTCCTGGTTTGACAACTTTGTTTTCACTATGGTTTGAGTTAAAAAGGTGTTCAAACATTTCTAAAGCTGTAGTGGCTTAGAAACAAATCTGGAAACATTGGTTAGCAACGCAAAATACTTTCTATATACAGTACTTACTGGGTACATACCAGGCAAATACCATGTAAATACCAAACACGTATCCTGTAAGCATATAGTTGGCATCTCGTGAGTATCCTGTAAGTAACTCTCAAGTACCCAGCATGTATGTAGGCAGCACGACGGCTCAGTGATTAGCACTGTTGCCTCACAGCAAGAAGGTCCTGGGTTCAATCCCCAGTTGGACCTGGGGTCTTTCTGTGTGGAGTTTGCATGTTCTTCTCGTGTTTGCATAGGTTTTCTCTGGCTACTCCAGTTTCCTCCCATAGTCCAAAAACATGCATGTTAGGCTGCCTTCAGGCCCAGGCCTCCCTTGCAAAAGAGATCTGTGATCTCATTGGGATTTGTCTGGTTAAATAAAGGTTAATAAATATTTCTTAAGAACGGGTTTTGAACATGGTAGAAGTTTCTTAAGTACCAGCTATGTGCCATGTACAAACTAGGATTCAAATCATGGATATATATCCTGTAAGTACCTGTGTACCTGTTAAGATACATCTGCAACTTTCAAGTACTACGTATCTAACGTATAAGTCACAGGTACACACCTCATAGGTACCTGTTGTGCACCCAGTAAATATTTCGTATGTACTAGGTTTTAAACCTGCTAAGCACTACATGAATACCCAATACATACCTTGTAAGTATCAGGTATTTTCTGAGTAAGTATCCTTATGTATCTAATACATACATGGTAGGCACCCCTTAACATCTCAATATGCATCCAGTTAGCTTTATGTAGGTACGTACGCTTAAGTATTTGATGCATACCTGTAAGTACCCAGGAAGTACCAGACACCCTATAAATGCCAAATACGTAACCCGCAAGTGTAGAGATTTGAGGTATGCACCCTGTAAGTACAAGATAGGAATTCACTTTATAACACAGCCCAGTCTTTATAGGTACACTAAGTACCATGTAGGTACCAGGTACACACCCAATGAGTAAGAGGCTGTATAATGTATTGCTAACAAACTTTCTTTAAAGACTCAGCAAGTAACTAGCATGCTTATTCAAAATAAATGGGAAAAACATAAGGTTAAAGAAAAATGTATAACCAAAAATATACTTTAAAAAGAGTAGTTATAAAGAATATTACTATATGAATTGTTGATATTTTGATGACAATTGTTGCTTAAAAGACCATTTCACAGTTTTAAAGCCACAACCTTGTCATGTTAGGTGTGTAGGGGCAGAGACTAACATGAAACAAACAAACAAACAAAAAAAAAGTAAACATATTTCCATTCCCTGCAACAAGATAAAGAGAATACAACTTAAATGAGCCTTTTTGTATTAAAAATGCTGATCTGTAAGCATTAAAGATTCCTTATTACTCTTCTGTTAGTATCTTCTTCATGTTATTCTGCTGTTCTTCTTTGAGCTTTTCCCTCTTCAGGGGTCACCAAAGCAAGTCATCCTCCTCCATCTCACTCTGTCCTCTGCATCCTCTGTCCTCACTCCAACTACCTCCATGTCCTCTCGACCTGCATCCATTTATCTCCTCTGTCTCATTCCTAATCTTCTCCATCCTGTCACTCCTAAAGAGAACCTCAACATCTTAATTTCTGCTACTTCCAGTTCTTTCTCCTGTCTTTTTGTCAATGCCACTGTCTCCAGACCATACAATACAGCTGGTCTCACCACTGTCTTGTAAACTTTTCCTTTGACCTTTGCTGGCACCCTTTTGTCACAAATCACTCCTGAAACTTTTCTCCATCCACTTCATCCTGCCTGGACTCTCTTCTTAGAATAGAATAGAAACAGCCTTTATTGTCCCACGGATGGGAAATTCAAGTGTAACAGCAGCAACAGCAGCAACAGATAAAAAGATAAAAAGATTTCACACAAAAGTTCCTAAATGTTAATAAACATTACAATATATAAGAAATAAGATAAACAATATCAATAATAATGTTCAATATGTGTTGTAACATTGATAAGGACAGACTATTTACAGTACAGTATTATAGGCAGAGCATGTGTTTTAGCAGAGCATGTATTTAATCCTTATTGAGTTTGTTGGGAGCAGTGATGGTTGTAGAGTCTAACAGCTGCTGGGAGGAAGGACCTGCGGTAACGCTCCTTTGTGCATTTAGGATGCAGTAATCTGTCACTGAACGAGCTGTCCAGTTCAGCAACAGCTTCATGCATGGGGTGGGAGACGTTGTCCAGCAATGATGTTATTTTAGCTAGAGTCCTTCTGTCTCCCACCACCTGCACTGGGTCGAGGGGGCGTCCAAGCACAGAGCTGGCCTTCTTGATGAGCTTATCTAGCTTCTTCTTCTCAGCTGATGATAAGCTGCTGCTCCAACACACAACACCATAGAAGATGGCTGATGCTACTACTGAGTCAAAGAATGTCTTCAGGAGCACCCCCTGCACCCCCTTCACCTCTTTACCACATTTCCCATTTCCCTGGACAGTGGACCCCAACTACTTGAAGTTCTGCACCTTTGTGACCTCTGCTCCTTGTAGCCTCACTGTTCCACCAGCCTTCCTCTCATTCGCACACATGTACTCTGTCTTACACTTATTACTGGGAAGCTGAACTGCTCATTGTGAACCCCATCAATGTATGAATGTGATTTAAAGCACTGATTAGTCTCCACAGATTCAGATTAGCTTTGTAGAGACCTAGTAGAGTGCTGTGTGGATGTGCATGAAGGTAAATGAGGACACAGATTGTAGTGTAAAGCACCTTTGAGTATCTTGATAAGATAGAAAGGTGCTATATAAGTACAGTCCATATACCATTTACTAAGACTGACTTTCATTCCACTTCTTTCAAGTGCATACCTCCACCTCTCCAAATTCTCTTCCACCTGTATCCTGTTCTCACCACAGATCACAATGTCATCTGCAAACATCATAATCCATGGGGATTCTTGCCTGACCTCATCTGTTAGTTGGTCCATCACCAGAGCAAACAAGATGGGGCTCAGAGCCGATCCTTGATGCACTCCCACCTCCATCTTGAAGCTATCTGTCACTCCTACAGCACATCTCACCACTGTCCTGCTGTCCTATTACATGTCCTGTACCAGTCTAACATACTTCTCTACGACTTCAGATTTCCTCATGCAATACCACATCTCCTCCCTCGGCACCCTATTGTATGCTTTTTCTAAATCCACAAAGACAATGGAGTTCTTTCTGATCCTCTCTGTACTTCTCCATCAGCATCCTCAAAGCAAAGATAGCATCTGTGGTGCTCTTTCTTGGCGTGAAACCATACTGCTGCTCACAGATAGTCACCTCATCTAAGTCTTGCTTCCACAACTCTCTCCCAAATCTTCATTGTGTGGCTCATCAACTTAATTCCCCTGTAGTTGCTACAACTCTATACATCAACTTTATTTTTAAAAGTGGACTGGACACCAGCACACTTCTTCTCCATTCCTCAGGCATTTTCTCACACTCAAATATGCCACTGAATATTTGAGTCAAAAACCTCACTGCCATCTCTCCAAGACGGTTCCAAACCTCCACTGGTATGTCGTCAGGTCCACCTACTCCTTCCACAGCTGTGAAAAAAATAAAAATAAAATAAAACCCAGACATCAATATATGCAGCTTGATTCGTAATAATGTTCAATAACTATATTTGGCAGTAAGATATATATATATATATATATAAAGGGGTATAAAGTCTGAGCCATCAGCACATATGCAGTGCCAGTCTTCAGATACCCAACTGGTATAACAGCCTTGCCAAAGGAGGAAATAGAAACCACTGACATCAAGACTTGTAAGCTCCTCACTATACATGGAGCATTTCACCCCAAGTCCAGCACCATGAGACTATATACTAAGAGAAAGGAGGTAGAGGACTAGTGAGCATCAGAGACATAAAACATGAAACAACTAAGATCCTGCAGTAAACGCAGTGTAGAAGAGGTGGAACAAGAAGAGCCATCATGGAAAGGTAAGCCCCTGCACAGCATGTACCATGAGCAGATTGAGGAAGTGGATAATATCAACAAATCTTACCACTGGGTGGAGAGTACTGGACTGAAGTCAAGTCAAGACAACTTTATTTATAAAACACATTTAAAACTGGCTGTTTCCAAAGTGCTTGAAGGACAGCACAGAGGCACTAAACATGGTAGAATGAGAACAGACCTTCAGCATAAGTGCTATTGAGGCCAAGGTTTACCATACCAGACAAGACCCAAGATGCAGGCTGTGCAAAGATGTCCCTAAGACAGTCTGACACTTAATAGCAGGATGTAAGATCCAGACAGGTAAAGAAAACATGGAGTGCCATTACCAAGTGGCTTGAACAAAAGAACATCTGTGCCAAGTATTGACTGGAGGTCCTACAATCAAAGTGGGAAACACCACCAAGGGTGGTAGAGAATGGAAGGGCTAAGAACATGTGACTTCCAGATCTAGACTGACAAACAGGTGATGGATAAACAACCAGACATTTTCATGGTCAACAAGCAAGAGAAGAAAGCAGTGATGATATATGTAACAATCTCAAGTGACTGCAACATCATGAAGGAGCATGAGAAGCTGGAGAAATACCAATTCAATTCAGTTTATTTATATAGTACCAAGTCACAACAGAAGTCATCTCAGGGCACTGAACAGAAACATTCATATACATAAAAAGTAAGTTAACAACATTATTTATCTGAGGAGCAGACTGCTTTGAGTTTAACTTTGGTTTAACTTTACTGCAGACTCTTATCCCGAGCAAGCATAAAGGCAACAGTGGAAAGAAAAAACTCCCTCATGAGGAAGAAACTTCCAACAGAACCAAGCTCAGGACAAGCGGTCATCTGCTTCGACCAGCTGGGTTTGAGAGGAACA